TAGTGGTAGCAGAAGTTTATTCGATTTAGGAAGGTAAGTGGACAAGATAATAAAGCTTTTAAGCTTTAACTGACAAAAATTTAAAAGGTGTGGGACGTTTGGAAGGAGAGCCATGACCGAGGTTAGAAAGAAATAGGGAGAAAGTTGGGTTTAGCGGAAAGAAGAGGATTGTTGGAGGAACAATGATGAAACTTTTTGATTGTCAGTCTTCTTTTGTGAACGGTGATACTGGATCCTGCTCTCAGGTGGTTAGAGATCCTGTGGTGGTTTGCATCTCTTTTGAGCCTGAGGTGGCTGCTGTGGCTTCTGAATAAATCATTTACGATTTTGGATTAGCAGTTCTGTTGGTTTCTGAGGAGGTCCTCTCTGCTATGTTTGAGAGGTTGAAAGAGAGGGACAAGGAAGCTGAGGATGGGTGTGCTGATGCAGATGCTGAGTTTAAGGACGAAGATGAGATTGGAGGGAAAGGTGCTTTAGTTGCTGGAGACAGTGTTGATGGTCAAGACGAGAGCTTTGAAGGTGATTATTTTTGTTTTGAAGAGGTGAAGGTTGGAAGGTTGGGTGTTGACCTGGGTCGAAGGAGCAAGACTGAAGAGGAGGAGTCGTTTATTGGAGTTAATTAGTAAGAAATCGCGTAGCTCAACAAATCCTAATGTTGTGCATATGGTGAAAAATTTTTCTAGATTGAATCTTGGTCTGGCTGGGGCAGGACCTACAAAAAAATACAAATGGGTTTGTAGGAGAAAAGGTACAAGAGGCAATTTGGCATCTGGAATGAATCATAGGGCGCAACGATGCAGGCCCAACCATTGGAATCCCATTTGGGGAAGGAGCAACAAGACAACAAGGTGAGTGTTGATGGTCCTGATACTGGTCTTAGTTTGATGAAGCAAAGTAACAGTGATAAGGTTGGCGTTTCAATGTGTGTCTATTCAGAAATTAGTGGAAAGAGAAGTCATGATTGGTAAAAGTTTGGGCTTGTGTTTTTGGGGAGGTGAGGAGTTTGCTAGAAGGGTCTTTGAGGAGTTTGAAAGGAGAAGGAAAGAGAAGTTGAATAAAATAGTTCTTGGGGAAGGAGGCGAGGCATGGAAGGAGGCAAGGTTCAAAATATCGATACAGGGCGATACGCTGGTAGGGCATATTGGTACTGTTTTTTATTCTACCCCCTGAACCATTGCCGACCCGAAACACCCCCTGTAGGGGTGTATCGGGAAGGCTTCGATACGATATGTATCGGTCGATACGGGCCGATACGTGACGAAATTTTGATCCTTGGAATGAGGATGTTTCAGACTAGCATGATGCGATTGTGGATGAAGAGTGAGGCCTTGGTTATTTGCAAGTAGTGGTTACACTTCTGATTGGCTTTTTCAATTTCTTTTGTCATCGTTTAAGTCTGGTTTGTTGTGCCTTTTTGTCTGTAAGTTGTGAGGAGTTTGTTTCTGTTAAGGGGTTGTTGACATCTGATTGTTGGGTCTATTGGCTATGTTTTTCTTTCGGGTGATATCTTGTCACCTTTCTGCTGTATTTTTTTTTCCGTTTTAATGAAAATTTCTCTTTATCCTTCAAAAAAGGTATTGAGAATTTTATCCTTCTTGTTGACCACTTCTCAAATTCAATTTTTGTTGCAATTAGACCCAACCGTATAGCTCTGAATTGGAAAGCTTAGTAGTTAAAGGCATTATGATTGAGAGCTTTAAGGAAGGATGAACATTAGAAAGAACTGTTTTGGTTAGAAAACCACATTTGGCAGTTAAGATCTTTTGGGTCCAAGAAGATATTGTAACTTCTTAAATTCATACTCTGCAATCCTGTGTTAATGGATCTGAACTTTTTGTTCATGCGTTTTGATCTTTTTTCTTATCTTTTTTTTTCTGTCTTTGTTGAACCCAAAATTCTTATCCATTAGTTGAAGTTAAATATTATAGCTTCTTGAATTCATTCTCTGAAATAAAAAATTCTGTGTTAATGGATCTGAGCTTATTTTTCATGGGCTTCGATGTTTTTTCTTCTCTTTCTTTCTGTCTGTATCTTTTTACTCTCTCTTTATCTCTATCTTTAATTATATTTGTAGATAATTTTATTTGTTAGCCTTGGGAGTTAATACAACTTTTCTAGCTCTAATTCCAAAAATCCTGATGCTAGCCAACCCAAGGATTTCCGACCCATTAGTTTGGTGACAAGAATCTATAAAATAATTGCTAAAGACTTGTCTTTGAGGATTAAAGTGGTACTACCCTCTCTCATAAGTCAGTTTCAAGGAGCTTTTGTTCAAGGGAGGCAAATAATTGACCAAATCCTAATAGCCAATGAATGTGTAGAGGAAATGAAGAAATCTGGGAAGGAAGGTTTTATTTGCAAATTGGACCTAAAAAAAGCATATGATTTATTAGAGGTGATGTAACAACATGGGTTTGGGGAGAGGTGGTGTCATTGGGTGTTTGGTTGTATTCGGTGTTGTCACTTCTCTATCCATTGTTAATGGAGTGGTGAAAGACTTCTTCCCAGCTTGTAGAGGACGAAGGCAAGGGGATCATCTCTTACCCTTTCTCTTTACTTTAGTGGCTGATGTGTTCATTAGACTCCTCTCTAAAGATGATAGGGGAGATGAGATTAGGGGTTGGAGAGTGGTCCGAAACAGTGTTCCAAGTACTCACCTCCAATTTGCAAACGACATCATAATATTTTGTGAAAGGGGTGGATATTTGGAGGGTGAGGAGATTAAAAGGACTGATCAAGAAGTTTGAAGGGACCTCAAATCTGAAAATCAACTTGGGTAAGAGTTGCGTAGCAGGAGTTAACATGGAGGACAATGATTTAAGCTTGGTAGCAGGCTGCTTAGAGTGTCCTATCACCCCTTGGCTGTTGACATATTCAGGTCTTCCTTTAGGTGCCAATCCTAAGGAAAGTAGATTCTGGAACCCTATTGTAGAAAGATGTGGAAAGAGATTGGTGGCTTAGAATAGGAACTATATTTTGTTGGGAGGTAGGATCACTCTAATAATATCGACTTTGGCTAACTTACCAATCTACTTTCTTTTTGTATTTAGGATTCCACCAAGGGAAGTGAAGAAATTAGAAAAAATCTTGAGGGATTTTCTTTGGGAGCCAGGAGAGTCTAAAAAAGAACACCTAGTTAAATGGGGGATTATGTGTAAAAGTAAGAAAGAGGGTGGTTTAGGAATTGGGAATGTGAGAAAGAAGAATATGGCTCCATTAGGGAAGTGGTTATGGAGATGGCCTTTATTGAGGGATAGCTTGTGGCATGAGATGGCGGGCAGTATTCATGGGAGATTGGAGAGTGGTTGGGATGTTGGTGTTTCGCATCAGGTTACTTTGGCACTTGGTAGCACCTTGGAAAGAAATCCATAGCATCCTTCCTTCTTTCCTCAGGTTTATCAGGTATGATGTTTGTTCAGGTAACTTAATTCACTTTTGAGAAGACATTTGGTTGGGGGATCAGCCTCTAAAGGATTTGTTCCTTCTTTGTATTCCATCTCCTAGTATAAAAATGAGAGTATCTCAAAATTTTTATCACCTCCTATTTTGCCTCTAGGTCATAATTGGGATTTTGGGCTTCGAAGGGGATTGAGGGATGAAGAAGTCACCTGTTTGTCAGAGTTGTTGCTTTTTGAAAGAGTTTGCTTAGAGCCTCCTAAACCGGACAGAAGGGTTTGGTGTCCAAGTTGTAAAGTTCTCTTTTCCTGTGTGCCTTTTTTTTAATGCTCTTTGCCAATATCTTATCCCTCTTTCCTTTCCTACAAAGGAAGTTTGGTGTCAACTGATTCCTCAAAAAATTAAGGTTTTTTGTTGGGAAGTGACTTATGGAAAAGTTAGCACTCTGGATTACCTACAAAAGAAGAGGTTTTTTTATGTATTTCCCCAAACTGGTGCACTCTATGTAAATCGGATGGTGAATCTTGTTACCACTTACTAATCTCTTGTTCCTTTTCTGCAGATATTTGGGAGTGGTTTTTCTCTTTGTTTGGGTGCAAGTGGAACATGCCAATGGAGATTAAGATGCTGTTTGATCCATCTACCTTTGCGTGGACAAAGAGAAGGGGAAGAATAATGTGGAGAGGCACCAAAGCAGTAGTTGTTTGGACCTTATGGGAGGAAAGAAACACTAGGATCTTCCAAGAGAAGCAGAGAAGCAAACAAGAAATTATGGACTGTGTATTGACTAGAGTTATACATTGGCTACTAACTTTTGATCTGCTTAGGCAGTTCTCCTTTGATGATATTTGGATGTACTGGTTATCAGTGGCTTCTAGTTCAGTACAGAAGGCTAAAACAAGGTTGATATGGGTACCTCCCAGTGAAGGTTTTTTGAAATTAAATTGTGATGGGAGTAGCCAAGGCAATCCAGGTCCTTCTGGAATTGGAGGAATCATAAGAAATAGGGAAGGGAACCTGGTAGCACTTTTTTCAGGACTGGTGGGTAATGAAGACTCTATACGGGTTGAACTGTTTGCAGTCCTACAGGGTGTTCAGATTGCTAAAGAGATGAATTTGGAAAACCTGGTGATTGAAGGGGACTCCAAGGTGGTCGTGGGCTGGCTAAAAGACCCAGATTCAATGATATGGTGCTATAGAGACGAAATGAAGAAATTCAGATGGTTAGTACAGCAGCTGAGCTTGATTATACAATGGGTGGGGAGGGAGGCTAATGCTATGGCTGATTCATTAGCTAAGCAAGGGGTAACTAGGGATCAATTGTTTTGGGCTCAATTTTAGTTCTTGTGCTGTCTTTTCTTAGGCTGCATCTCGTGCCTCCATTGAGGAAGCTTGTAACAATTGCTTATCTTTACTGATTTAATGAAATATTAAAGAATTTTTACTTATAAAAAAATGATGCATTATATTTTTGAAGTAGCTTTTTACCCCAAAAGAGATGACTTGGAAATTGGTTGGCCTCTAGAATTATAATTTAGCTGACATCCTTTATGTTCCAAGTACCATGCATGTTTATTGTTTCATGTTCGCTATTTAAATTCCAGGGATTTCAAAGGATGAACTGTTTGGGCAATTCTTTAGTGCACTTGAGAAAATTAGGTTCTTTAAGACAACACCTGATGGAGGTGATGATCAGGTCCAACTAGATAGGGCAACACGTATGTTTCATGATGCTCTAGAGGTATGGTGTACATTCCATTCACGTTTCTATGCATGTGAACACTAGCTTTTCATCCTTTCACTATACCTTTATTCCTGTACCTGCTGGCATTTACATTGTATTTTTTTGAGACCGTAAAGAAAAGGATTTCATTTGAAATACATCCAAAACAGAAGTATAAAGCCAACCCCTGTACTGTATATCTGAACCTATTAGAGGTGTCAATTGGATGGATTTGGTCCAACCCGATCCAGTCCAATGTGAGTCCACTTATAAATGGACTGGACCCAATCCAGTCCAAATCCAATACAAACCAAATCCAATCCAATCCATTAAAATGTAAATGGATTGGATTGGATCCAATCCAAACCGAATGAAATATAAAAAATTATATAAAAGCACTTTTAGAATTGAAAAAGCACTTTTGTAAAAGTACTTTGATAAAAATATTTTGATAAAAGTGCTTTTACAAAAAGCACTTTATTGAAAGTACTTCGGAGTAGAAGTGCTTTTGTAAAACTACTTTCGTAGAAGTGTTTTTATAAAAGTGCTTTCATAGAAGTACTTTTGTAAAAGTGCTTTTGTAAAAATGCTTTTATAAAAGTACTTCTATAAAAGTGCTTTCATAAAAGTACTTCCGTAAGTTTTTTTGTATAAGTTATTTCATAAAAGTGGTTGTGTAAAAGTACTTTTATAAAAGTGCTTTCATAAAAAGTACTTTTGTAAAGTGCTTTCGTAAAAGTACTTTTGTAAAAGTTCTTTTATTAAAGTGATTTTGTAAAAGTGATTTTATAAAACTACTTCTGTATAAGTGCTTTCATAAAAGTACTTTTGTAAAATTTCTTTCGGAAAAGTATTTTTATCATAAAATTACTTTTATAAGAGTGCATTTATAAAAATGTTTTTGTAAAAGTGCTTTCGTAAAAGTACTTTCATAAAAGTGATTTTATGCTGTTTTCAGTTTTGATTGATTTCAATTTGGACAAGGGTTTGACCTCATGATCGGATTATTGGTGTTTCTACTGTAGCTACAGTAGTCCGAACCAGTAAGGAGAAGAAGAAAGAGAAGGAGAAGAAGAAAGAGAAGGAGAAGAAGAAGAAGAAGAGAAGAAGAAGA